GCAGCAGACTCGTGCTCCTCGAAGGAGCTCCGCCATAATCTACATACCCTCATTCTCCGTCACAGTGTGTCCGGAGCTCAAGTGGGAATACCAACAAACTGTGAACGAGTCATAAGCCAACAGACGCGTCAAAAGTTTTGACTCAAAACCAGTAGACTAAAACTCCCTGCCAAACTCACTGTCAGCTCAACAGTTATCATTTCTCCCTGACAATTCTCTTCTGTACAAACCCATACGATATTGATGAGCAGTCCATGCCACTCCCAGCTTCAAAAGGGCCGAAGAGCTCTATCTTAGCGCCGCGCCGTTCCGGATCTAATTCTGAGCCAATATTGGCTAATGGTTTGGCGAGACTGTTGGAGGCTCATAGCTGGACCAGCTAAGCTGGTGCTGAACGCTCCTTGGATTCTCGGAGACGTTCTCTGCTTACACTAGCTCTCTTCGCCGTAACAACGCGTGTTGCTCGTAGCCAACTGGTGCAACTATCAACACGAGTCAACAGTCTCAACGAAGCCCAATAGCCATATGATATGGCCCATATCCTATGAGAAAAGATGAGACGAGGATTGTGATCTCGGCCTCCTCTAGGTACGAACGATTCTATAAATAAATGGCACCCAGGCACGAGACCTGTCATGACCCCTAGCAAACTGTACCGTCCTCGGACCTGCAGAAAACGTTATGTTTTACACGATATAGCAACCACATCTATCTGCCTAACATCATTTGCCCTCAACATGAAGAAGGCCGAAAATAAGTTTCGTATATAGCTGCTACTCAAGGCGATTGTAGGTCTTCTGGGGGGGGGGGGGGTGTTGACTCATCACTGCCAGCTAGTTCCGAAATTAAGTGGCTATCGTTGACAGAGTCTCGCGCAACTCAACATCGCTACGTTCGCTATGATAAGCATTCGTATCAGATAATGACGGAATAGACCAAAGATCAAGTACGTTAAATACTTGAAAGCTCCGGGCGGGAACAACCAGATACACGAACTTTTCCCGGAAAATATTCCCAGCTCTCGAGATGCGAACTTCACACTAACCTTCACAGATCAGAATGAGATTCCCGACACGGCACAGACATAAACTCGTGAGCCCCAGCCATTTAGCAATAAGTCTGATGGTGAGTACACGTGAGACAAGAGCTAATAGATAAATGGCGAAGCTTTATTAGATCGTATGCCGATCGGTTCGACACATCAATATGGAATATGATCAGATCAGAACTGTCAAAATGTTTTTCATGTTAGCACATGAATGGCTACTGAGCAGTAGCCAAGAGTACAAGGGGACTGGCCGAGTGAAATCCTGCAATGCGACTCATCATCGGCATCGAAGTCTCACTCGGTCCTTCCCGAACCAACTCATAAGGATAAACATTAGCTTAAACGGGGCATTGCCAAGCGCCTTTATTCTTATAGTATAAGACTTATACAGAGCCGTAGAATTTCTTAGCTTCATGTACAAGTAGTCGAGTTTGGGGAACGTGAGGGAGGGATATAGGGAATCTTCGTTGAGTCTGCCCTTGGAGTCCTTCACAAGTCTGTGACACTCGCGACCCAGAAAAAAAACTCGAATATACCCCTCATCCATCTCTTTCTCTCTTGGGCCGAACTGATACTCGCATGTGTAAACTTTCTTAGGTCCAAGAGGATCTTTCTGATGGGTGAGGAGAACATCGCCATTGACTGTGAACTCTATTCTGATGATATACTCTCCATATTGTCCGGACTTATCGATGCATGGCCTGTAGACAGCTACATGACCACGAACACCCATACCGTAGATGATCAGACTGGTAATGAGATGCAGAACTCCCATGTTACAGATAGTTAACTGAGTGCCAAATTGAGTCCGAGAAGGTCACCATGATATGATTCACGACGGTTATCACAACACAACTCGAACTTGAGCCAAGATATGGCTACGGGGAGATTCTCGATACTTAACACGAACTGATTGCGCTGAGGGCTCAGTTACAAAATAGCAAAGGAGCAAATAGCAAAAAAGTGCTAATTAGCTGGAATGTATATTCCCTGCGGCTTTTGCTGTTGTGCTAGTGTGTAAGAACGCTATGGCTGATATACAGAAGAGCAAAGTAGCAAAATTCACTTTACAAATACGCAAATTTGCCGCTTTGTATAACAGAAACTGCTCGAATGAATATCGTTTGCTTGTTTATATTTCAGAAAATTGCTAGAATATATAAAAGTTGCCGCTATGTGAAGTGCTACTATGTAACAAAATTGAGCAATTTTGCTCAAAGAAGGGGCAAACCAATAAATTGCTCCTTCTACTATTGAGCAAATTGCTACTTTTCAGAGGAGCAATT